CCTCTTCCACCCTGCTCTGGATTTCTGGGGAGATCCCTGTAAACTGGCCAATTTTTAATTTGAGTCGGTTTTGAGTTTATTTCATTGTCTCATACGGCAATACTGCACTTTGACTAAGCTCTTGTTGTTATACATAATTCATGAAAACCAGGTTGGGACAGTCCATCCTTACTTCGGGACACTCAGTCAGTTGGAAATTACTTTTGGGACAATTCTGGGACAATAGGGAAAAAAGTTAGTTTCGAGGCCTGACCATCCCTTTCCTTGGTGCTAAAAGACCATCCCCAACTTGAACTATCATGTACCATCCCTTTATTTGGTGCTAAAAGACCATCCCCAACTTGAACTATCATGTACCATCCCTTTCCTTGGTGCTGAAAGTCAATTTTCTGGTGATACTTTTAATATAGATTAAGTTGAATCAACCATATTCCATAGCATACTGATACATGTATCTGTACGGCAAAAGTGCAATGTTCCTGACAGAAAAGGGTTGATTGCTTGTAATAATAATGACAAATATGTGCTAAGAAATGACAGTTAATGTCAATATCAGACAGGTTTCCTCATCTTGAAATTTTGAAGTTTTGTTTTGTTTTTGCCACCCTGGCGTTTCTTTGGATGCCTTTAATGTCCTTTTTGCTAACCTGTGCTGATTGTTAGGAACAACATCTACAGAGACGGGCTCAACTTCAGTACTGGCAACACTGGCAGCACTGGCCGAGGCCTCTGCACCCCTTACTACACCTACTACTGTACATGGTGGGTATTACTACATGTAGACTATATGTTTTGTTTAGTAGTCAAGTAAGCACAAAAAGTTTGCAAGTATTTCTGTTGTTCAAAATGATAGTTATCATCATTATATCATTTCACTCTATATTATTTATGGGAGTGAAAATATGTATTGTTTATTTCTTGTAGTTTCTTCTTGACCTTCTGTCATCTTTATATAGGGAATAGATTTTTAAGCTGTGGGGCCAAACATATATATTTTGGGCTCCTGAGCCCTGGTATTAAACCCACCGGTTAACATGAAATTCAGAATAGGGGTACCTTTAACATAAACTCAGACATACATAATTTTATATTTATTTTTTTAATAGTATATGAAATTATGAATGTGTGTATTACACATAACACTTTTGGCATACATTTAATTGTATAATTTGGGAGTTTTGGCTGTTTGAGCATCGCATGTAACCATATTAGTGGCATGGACAACAAGGCAGATAATTTATTGACATTCAATAATTAAATAACATCTACCATGTTGGTGTTTTTAGGCAGTGCCCAGGAGGTTTTGTCCTGGCTGGAGTCCCAGGGTATCCAGACCACCACATCAGGAGCCTCCTCCCCTCACACCATCACTATAGAGAGTGGACAGACTCTTACACTGACCGAGGCAGGCAAACTGGCACTCAAACTCACCAATCAGACAACAGGTATGGCACTCAAACTCACCAATCAGACAACAGGTATGGCACTCAAACTCACCAATCAGACAACAGGTATGGCACTCAAACTAACCAATCAGACAACAGGTAGCCTGCATGTCCTATTTTTTATGTGCGTATGACGAGTAGTGGTTGTAAAATGATTGATTTGATTATAATATGTTCATGACATCCACACACAAATGAATTTTCTTCCGTTTGCAAAAAAATACATTTTCAACCATACTGTAAGTCATACAAAGGAGCTGGAAATAAGCAAGACGTAGTATATGCTGTAAATTGGAAAACAAGTATTGGAAAACAATGCTAATGTTGTAAAATACCAAAATCAATTCCAAAAGCAAAGAAGAAAATTGTGAAGAAATGAAATTGAAGAGTCTGTTATTTGCTATACCATACTCTGTGTGTTCAGTCATTTTTTCAACCTTCATGACCACCTAGATTTTATATTTCATGAAGTCAACTTTGTTTTTGCAAACTTTTTTTTTTATTTGCACGTTCACATCAGTTTTAGGGTACCCAGTGGATGTCATTCATAAAAACAAATCAACATGACCTATTAAACTGCAAAAATCATTTGTAAAAGTACATTTGTACCAGGAAATTGTTGATTGAGCAAATTTTAGTGAATTTTTTTTAATCTGCTGTTTTCTTCTTCCTATAATGTTTAGGACAAGTGGAAGAAACTGCCTCTGAGACAGAGAGTCAGAGCCAGTCAGGGATTGGTCAGATGGTGGGGTCACCCTCAGGTCAGCGGGTCATCACCATAGTAGCAGACCAGGGTCAGATCCCAGGGCTCCAGACCACGGTCATCCCTACTCCTGCCACTAACGCACCTATCATGGTAGCTATGGCAACAGGGGACCATCAAGGTATCTGAAAATGACATCTTAGTGTAACCTTGACTAGTGATGCATACCGGTTCACTGGACTTGGATCCGGACTTGTAAGAATGTTTAGGGTCAAGTCCAAAAAACCTAAAAGTCAAGAACCGAGTCCGGACTTATCACCATAAAACACAATTTCACATACCCCTTTTTTTCCAAACCACCAAAAACCTTTCGTAGATTGTAAAATCTTTGCTGCAAAATGAAGAAAACATTGCCTTCGGGCATCTTCAAGTATCGGCCTCCATGTTATGTGGCCAAAGTTTCACCCAGACAACATTGCAAGGTTGCCAACATGCAATTTTGTATATGCCATGGGTTTATGGTCCAGAACTGAACGTAAACCTATGGACTTGAATCCGGACCTGAACCTACATGTAAATGTGGGTTTAGGTATGCAGCTCTTAGCCTTGAATAATGTAAACCAGATTCTGTTCAGTTCATTCCTCCATGTATGTATCAATTTAAACCTTGTCCTGCGGAGCCCATATACATACAATGTCATGTACATGTATGGGTTGCACATACAGTACCATCTGACAGTATATAGCACCCTGTATTATGCACCGTTTGGAGGTATTTCTCATACAACACATCACACTGCGGCAAAACGCAACAAATACGGAAGTAACCATACCAAAGCAGGGCAAAAAGAGTCAAGGGTCTATGACCTGGTGAAGACATTAAATTGTTTGAAAACATTGTGTAAAAAATGCCAGCAGGACAAGGTTTAAGAACATCTTTCAATGACAGTGTACAACTGTGTACCAGAGTTGTCCCAATTTTTGTAAGATTAGAGTAAGAATGTAAGATTAGAGTAAATTTTGAATGTATTCCACATCCCCTGTGTTTCAATAGCCAAGTCCATAGTTACAGTAACTGGTACATTGTCAGAAGTTGCCTCCTAAGTTAAGTTGTACTGTTGACAGGTCCAGCAGTAGTGACAGTAGCAGCCCAGGAGAGAACATCAGCTGGGAATGTCTCCACTGACAACGACCCTCCCAGTAAGAGAATGAGGGGAGACAGTGATGCAGACAATGCACAGCTCAACTGGCTCAAGGTAATCTTCTCATTTTTGAGTACTACAAATTTTACCTTAGACCACAGCAAGTAAATTATATGGATGACATCCTCTGCAGACACCAAATCTAATGCGAAAGGAAAAAAAACAAGGCAGGCCAAAACACAAGATTCCTGCATTTTCAAATTTTGACATAAACCTTGTTAAACAAGAAATGATCCTGTATTGTGCTAAGTTTAATGCCGAATATTTCAACATCCATTTCTCACTGAAACAATGTAACAGTGGGGGGGTGTATAGGCGCTACCAACTGACCCGGCTGAGGGGTCTAGACTTTTTAGCTAAATCGTTTAAGTGTCGGGGTTGTGAGCTGGTGCCCAGGCTTGGTGTGGGTTCGATCCCTGGCCCGAGAGTGTCTTAAAGTTTCTGTTTCTACTCTCCTAACTCTTACAGTGCTCCTAATTCAGCTCTGAAAAATAAAAGATTTCAATCATTATACAAAATGGTTTTAGTTCAGTTGGAACATCACATATAGACAACCACCATCACATATAAAAGTAAATCAATGAAATACAAGACTGCATCAAAGTAAAAGACAAAACATTAAATCAGACTTTTCTTTTCTCCTCTCTTCATATTTATCTGCCATCCATGTTTCGGCATGCTGACCACTGTCATACATAGGGAAACAAAATTTCTTCTTTTTTTTTCCAAACTCGGGCAAAAAATAATATGCGCTCTGATGTCATCCATAAAAATTACTTGCTGTGGCCTTAACTGTAAATTCTATCATACCCATCTACATCTACCTCGTTTGTTGAATATTTTTACATTGAATCCTAACAAGTTATACAACTGTTCTTATTACATATATTTGAATTATGCTTAACCTTCTATTTTGATTACTTATTCTGTGTATTCTTATATCTCTTGTTGTTATTGACTAATAGTATGTAAATTTTGATGTTTTATATGTGTTTTTGTATGGGGGAGGGCAACTTGTAAAGGTACGTATGCACCTGTTTTGCCCTCCCTTTCACTTTGTGAAAAATCAAAATAAACAAGAATTCAGAGATCTCATACCTCCATGAAATATATTGAGTTTTTCTAAATGTTTTTACACATTACACTACGGTACAGAATGAAATAACACAGGTTTTTGGTTTCAAACACACAGTAGCACCTTTGGCCTGGATATGGTCATGTAGGCTTTTCCCGTGGGAGAACCTCATTTATCAAAACCGGGCAGGCGCTGCCTCCACCCCGCACATCTGTTTTCCCTGTCCACCGCGCACATCTGTTTTCCCGGAAGTTCTGCTGCAGTACCAAGGTCAGCCACCAGGAGGCCCATATTTGACCTTGACCTTTGGCTTCCTAAGACCTACCAGCATACCAAATATCATCACAATCCATAAAGGCGTTCTGAAGTTATGCTGACTACAAATGTGCGGAAACACACACACACACACATATACACACACACACACAGACGTGCCAAAAACAATACCTCCATTTTTCAAGGAGGTAACAAGCAAATAAACGAACATTTTGTTGTGTTCCAGGAGAAACATAACCAGGAGAGTGTGGAGAGAGAGATGTTACAGAAACAGCTGGAGGCTGCCCAGAAGGAGGCTGAGCGATACAAGGAACAGCTGGCCAGGAAAGAACAGGAGGCAGAGAAATACAAACAGAAACTCATGGAGATCAGTAAAACACAGACAAAGGACACTTAACTCACTTACAGATGCCTTATACATGTACATAGTTCTCAGTAGATTACTGTATTTGAGTATAGGGGCCCCCTATGCTGTGGTTGAAACCCCCTATGCTGTGACTTGGACCCATATGCTGTCTTTCAACCAGCATAGAGGTGTTTTTTGGGGGGGGGGGGAGAATCTTCTTTAATCTTGCAAAAAATGAAAATATAACTTAAGAATGAAGCTATAGCAAAGGGAAAACCTTAACTTCACAAAATCTTTGACAGTCCCTCAATAAGCAAGAAATAGTGTTAGGCCCGGTTATAGGTTTCTAAATTTTTCGGGTAGAATACCAGACCCCTGGTGTGGTCATGTTTTTAGGACTCAATGTATGACTTGTTCCGCGAAAGTTGCCCTTCTGTACCTGACCCCTACACTGTGAAAAAATCCTGGTGAGAAACCTGATATATACACTAGGCTATGGTACATAAAATTTGTAGATTTCTCTGGCTAAGTTTCAAGCTCTGACAGTCTGATTGATAAAATGAAAAAAGAAAAGTTGGAATGAATGTCACCATAGCGTATATTAATCACCATTGTTGACAGATCTCATTGTGTAAACAGGTCAAAAACAATTTTGGATTATGCAATGTCAGCTTTCTAGTAGTTCCAAAAGTTCTGGCCAATGGTCTAAAACTTTGCACTATGGTTAGAATTTTTTTTAAAGCATCATGTAGAAGATACATTGTACTTGTAAGTTGTCAATGGTGAACATAGACAGTGTTTAGGCCACACCAATTTAATTTCATGCTTAACAGGTTCGCCCGCTTAATTTTTTTTCTGATTTGCAAAAAAAAAAATTTTAAAAATCAGAATCAACTGCAAAATACTGAGTCTCATATTTTGCCCTGAACAGTTGAAAACAGTCCTTTTCTTCCTAGTTGTTACAGTTATTCCATCTTTCAATGCGGTGGTACATGTATCATTAAAAGTTCAAAATTCATTGTTTAAATTTTGAACCAGCCTGGTGTGTTGACTTCATGGTCCTATCGCACCATTTTGGGCCATAATAGGATGCCTAGGCATGTTTTTATTTTTATTCGCTTTTATCCGCTCCATTACTTTTTCTAGAAAAATCTGTTAACCAAGAAATTAAATTGGTGTGGCCTTAGAAAGGTCTTTGTTGTGACTGACTACCTTTAATTTTATCCAGCAAAGCGTTATCATTACAATTATAGAATAATAATGTGAAAATATGCATCTTGCCAACATAAGATTTTGGGGCAGATGATTTGAGATTGGGTGGTGCAAGCTAGAATCAGTCCTGATGTTTTAGTTGTGTGTGTCAGGATCGTCCCTGTCTGTATCTGTGTCTGTATGGCTATTCCAAGATCAGGGTCTACCAGTTTCCCATCCCCAGAATGCAATGCGAAAACAGGGGGTCTAACCTCATTTGCACGGGACAGGAAGGCATCGGAATGATCTTGTTGACGTTAAACAGCTTGTTTTTCATTGTGTTTTGAGGTGTTGAGGTATTTTATGCTCAAGGTTAATTGAATTACTATGGGTCGAATGTAACAACAAATAGAGAATGAAGTTTTTGTGTTCTTTTCAACATGGAACATGTGGTTACAAAACACATTAAAAAAGTCATTCTCTATTTGTTGTCAGATTCAACCCATAGTAATTTAGTTAAGTTAACGTTGAGCATAAAATGCCCCAACACCTCAAAACACACTGAAAAACAAGCTGTTTAACGTCAACAGGATCATTCTGATGCCTTCCTGTCCTATGTTTAGACCCCTGTTTTTGCATTGCATTCTGGGGATGGGAAACCGGTGAATGGCATCCTGCATCATTATGTCATTCTTACTAAATATTCATTGCATTCCGTTGATATTTGTCAAACATTATTCAAATATAAGTGTTGTCCAGACAATCTCGAGACTTTTCGGTAGATAGATGTTCAAAACATTATGCTTCAACCAATTTCAAACCCCGAAATTGCCAATTTTTGTTGTGACCAAAAATGAAATCAGAATTTGTAAAATAGACTAGTTCTCTTTGTAATACCCTGGTATGTTTTGCTGAAAGCTAAATGATAATTAAAAAATTTGTCTTTCCTACAGAGCTCCTTACTATTACATTGTATTACACGTTCTTATAAAAATATGCATTTATAGGCAAATATCTCCTTGTATCCCCAAAATGGTGATAGGACAGGTCATTTTACATGTTATACATGGTATATCTGTAATGTAACCAAAGTATATGTTTTATGTTGCTTGTGCCTTTGGGTTAATATCATGACAGATGATAGTTGCCTGACAGTTGCCTGTTGTTGTTTTTTGTCTGAGAAAATTAGTCTGTAGACAAAAGTATCACCGTACAAAGTACAAAGTGGCATATTAAGGTCACACGAATTTAATTTGTTGTTTCTCAGATTCGCCCTGTCCATTTTTTTTTGAGATTTGCCAAAAAAAATGTTTTTTTTTTTTGTTCTAATGAACTGCAACATGCTCAATGAAGACATATGTTGGCCCCAACGGTTGAAAAAAAGTCCTTTTCTTCCTAGTTATTAAAGTTTTTCAATGTAACAATGCAATTTTGTTTCATTAAAAGTTCAAAATCTATTGTTTTAATCATAAACCAGCCTGGTATGTTCACTTCATGGCTCATATTGTTACATTTCAGGCTATCATGGGTGCCTTGGCCTGTTTTTTTTTTTTTTTTTCGCACTGTCTCTTCATATTTTTTCTGAAACATTCTGAGAAACAACAAATTAAATTGGTGTGGCCTAATAGGAATATAAGCCAGACTATAAGTCCAATGTTCTGAAACATCTAAAGATAGTTAACGTATGACAGTAGCCACTTTAAACTGTGGTTGTAAATACCTAAAATGACCAGGTTATGACTAGCGTTCATAGACCTTGTACATGACTGTATATCATATACAATGTAGGTAGCGCACATTTGTGTAACAATTTTGCAATTTTTAGAGAAATTCACCCCATTCATTTAGTTCTGTCACAACATTTATCATTTGTAACAACCTTTGGAGGATAAAACATGTATCCTGTTTACGTGTTAAGCTGCTGTGTCCAGTCTCAAGTTAAGAGTGTCAAGTTTGAAAGAGTACAACAAATTGCTCTAACTTCATTATCCAAACATTTCAATCTATAGTATAAGTGTGGATGTAGATGTGTTTGCTTGTGTGTCTGCTTGAGTGACAGAATGAGTGTGTGTGTGTTGGGGGGGGGGGGGGGATCGCCCAACTACAGACCCCAAAAGGTCAGACACAGGAAGTTGGGTCCCAGAAGCTGGGTGTCAGCCTGCAGGAAGGTGGCCCAGGAGTCCATTGGCTGAATGACAGTAGGCAAAATACATGGCGAGGTAGGCAGAGAAATTATATCACGAATTATATACATTTTGTATACATTACGAATTATAAAACGAATAAAAAAATTACAAATATTTCACGGAGGTATGCAATCTCCGATTTGCTGCTTTACATTGTGCCATACTGTTGCCTTGTCGCCTTTCATATCTAGCTCATAATGGATAAGGGTCAAGTCGGACCAATAGGAAGAGTCCTGGACATCACGTGAAGCACCTTTGCAGTGACGAAAACCATAGATTGTTGTACGTGGCAGTCAGTCTATTAAACCTCTGCCTCAGACGTACAGCCCGCTGTGTGTTAGCCCGCTATCTGAAGGAGAAAGACTTGGTGTCAACATTGGGGTAAGTTTGTCATTTCCCTGCCATGTTGTGTCGGACCAAAAGTGTTAACATTAGACACCCCTGCCATGTTATTGCATGTTGGAACAGACTTAGTCTAGTGTTATATCGACTCCGTTTTTGGAAGGATTTTGCCAGTAGCTTTTGAAAAAAAACTAAAAAACCAAAACGATCGGATAAGGATTTCTGTTGCACAGCTGAGTTGAGCAAAAGGTACAGACACACACAAACACACGCACACACACACACATACATAAACACTATAATTACACCTTTCTGAAAGCACTCTAATAAAATATCATGTATAGTATAGGAGCTAGTGGACGGGGGGGACATCCTGCTTATGTTTTTCCAAAAACAACAGTTACTGTAGTGTACGTCCTGTCTAATGTTTTTCCAAAAATAAAATGGGGGCCAAGCAGCTCACCTGTCTTTAAAATACCATGTTGTCATGTACATTGTAATTCAGAACAAGAGGAACATCTTATGATATAAATTATGTAAATCATCATCATCTTATCATCATCTTATGTACTGCTTAGCCTGATTTGCATCGGATTACGAGCAGCTGCACCATGTGTTAGTTACAAAACAGGTGACCGGTACAAATAAAAACAAGGATAACTGGAGGAGGGGACACTAAGGAACGTAAATAACTGAATCTGTGGGTGTAAAAGACAAGACAATGCATTCAGCGTGTTAGTAGAACATATATATACATATATACAAAACGTGAACGAATACCTAATTTGCATAAATAATGATAAATTGCTATATTTTGTATTGTGTGCCTGTCTGTCTGTCTGTAAACACGATAACTGAAGTAGCCTTTAATGGATTGACTTGATATTTGGTAGTTGGGTAGGCCTTGATAAGACCTGGAAATGATTAGATTTTGGACCCCTAGCGGATTCTTATGGTACTGCAGCTGAACCTCCGGTTTTGATGTCTCATGGCCAATTTTGATGTCTCATGTCAAATTTGGATGATAGGTACGAGCTCTTGTCCTAGGGAAGAAGAGCCGTGGGTTTGGGCCCCCTAGCGGTTTGCTAGAGTCTGTGCCACCTGTTACACGCGTACGTACAACCCTAGTTGTAACGTTAATTGTTTGCTCACGGTCCAGGATTTGCTGCATCTGTTACAAGATAGTGACAGACTTACACATGCACAATTGGCTGAACAAAAGAGAAAAATTCATTGAGACAATCACCTTAGCGTCAGAGCCAAGTTACTTTTAACGCTAACCTCACTAGATTTTGACCTGTCTTCTTCAGGAAGCTGGAATTTATGGCAATCAGAAGAAGAAAAGGGGGGAGAGACGGGGCTAACTCGAGTGAAGCAGAAACTGGTACTAGCTATCAGGAGAAAGATGCTAACGGTTCCACTGCTGGACTTCCAACGACCCCTGTGTCCATCTTGTCGGTTGCTGTTGGCTTGTTCATGGCGTATTGTTCAGGATCCACAAACGGGTGGTTCATGATGACGCTACACGAGAACTATCTGTCATTCTCAAACATCAAGGTCTGTATCTCTTCTAGCCTTGTGAATTCTTAACTCTATCCCCAATATTCGTTTGGCATCATGGCTTTGCATAATAATAATTGTTTTATTGCAAATTCAGGCCAGAGGCCTAATTGCAGGAACACATGGTATAAAAACAGACAATTAGTACACATAGAACTACTGATAACTACTAAGAAACTACTAGTAAAACTACTGGGTTTGACGTCTTTTTGGGAGACAGAGGAAGACAGAGGATCCCACTTTTTCTGTAATTTGTGGGTTTTCGGATGTTAAAAAGAGAGTAGATTTCTTTTCATTTGTATATGTGTGAAAGTTTGTGTAGAGTTTGGAACCTACGTCAAAAAGTTCATTTCCTTCATTGCTATAGAGGGTACAATTTGAGGTAAAATGCGTTTCGTCTTCCACCGTATTCAACGTACAACGTTTGCAAATTCGATCATACACTTGGAGCTTCTTATATAGCCCTCTCTCAATTTCAAGAGGGTGTGCACTAATTAGTAATTTACTTATTGCAGAGCGAATGTTAAAATCGATTAAGTTCCAGGTATTTTTCCATAGAATATGTTGTTTTACATTTTTTGTAGAACCTTAGCTTACTAGAAATAATGAACTAGAATAAGTGGCGAAAAGGGGGCGGGAGGGGTCGCAACTCGCAAGCATTATACAAAATCGGTGTGTTACGCCTTAAAGTTGTTTAGAAATAAAGAAGGTAAATGCATGGCGTTATGAATCTTTTGCCCACCAGTAAATATTGATGTAACCGTGCACTCTCCCAATTGATTTATAGGAGGTGGAGAGAGAGATATCCTTCCGTACGGAGACAGGGCTTTATTACTCCTACTACAAACAACTCGTCAATGCGCCCACCATTGCACAAGGTAAATGTATTTTCTAAAGGGAATAAAACCTATAATTTACAGTAACTACCTTTGCCGGATAGAGACAACAACAGACAATTGAAACATCCCAAATTTATATCAAGTTATACCGATTTGCAAAAGTGCGTTTCACTGATGAGGCAACACCGACTTAATTTTATGGATGACATCCACGCGCGCATTGGTTTTCGCCTGTTCTAAAAAAAAAGATCACGTCTACCGAGGCTCTGGCCTGTCTATACTGTAGGTCTGGGTAGTCCATGGTAGTTAGCGACAATATTGAGGTGGTAACACTGGAGGATGGCACCCAGGCTGCCGTAGCTCCACGACTCAAGAACTCAGTACATACGCACAGTGCCGATTCATATAAAATTCCGCAAAAAGTCAGCATGTGCCGGCTTGTCGTAAACATCGCTATGTACTGCCACAAATTCACGACACCGGCTTTGTATTCCTGTGATTTAGTAGCATTTTTTATTTTTGGCCGGAATGGTTCTATTCGCCCGCGCGCACTAGTTTGGGGGTCTTCAGAGGATGTCATCCATAACATTAAATCCTTTTGGCCTAATAGATGTGAAAATTTCTGCTACCGTTTCTGTTCAAGGTTTGTATGAGCTGGTCCATGACAACATCACCGAACACGGCAAGACTATTAACATCCTGGAGCGGTTTAACATCTACCAGGAGGTAGTAATGGCGCTGATGTACAGGATCTTGTCTTTACAGGTCAGTTCATCTAACATTGAAAAGTCTAACAAACTTTGTATACTGTCCTTGTGTCCGTAATTCCCGATCCCTCTGCAGTTTTTCTACAAGGAACAAGGAACACAAAAGTCATGTTTTAAAGTGAGCTTTCTAGAATTTTAACTTTCTAGAGGAAGTCATGTATGGAGTACTGTTCGCACCTCTAGGCTGGTGCCCCAGTCGATTGCCTACACCTTCTCGATCGCATACAAAACAGAATTTCAGTGGCCATAGGCTATCCTCTGGCCTCCAAGTTAGACCCCATTTTCCATAGACGAAATGTTCCATGTCTATCCCTCTTTTACAGATATTTTCATGGTCATTGCTCTGCAGAACTCACCCAACTAGTTCCACCACTCAAAACTACTAAGCGATGTACTAGGTTCTCCACTAGCTCACACAACTTCACCGTCTAAATTCCTTGTTCGAAATCATTTTACAGTGACAGTTTCTTTCCCCGTATGGCCAAGCTTTGGAATTCCCTCCCTGACAAGTGTTTCCCACCAACCTACAATCTACAGGCTTTCAAATCAAACGTTCACCGCCATCTCTTGACATAGCCATGTTTCTCTCATATTTCTAGTTCAATGCCGAGAAGTGGTCGTATAGGCCTTGCATTGAACCATTCCGTTAAAAAAATACCGATGTTTCTGTCGACAGAAAACAGTAGAACCGATGTACTTCTACATCCATACCGTGTTTGGGTTCCATGCTGTACTGCTCATGTCCTTATATGGGACCACCTGGCTGCTGTCTGGCTCCTGGTTGGCTGGAATTTTATCTGCAGCATTTTATATCTTCAACAAGTAGGTTGTTTCGTAATGGTAAAAAAGTTGTACCACTGCATGTTAGCATACCACCCTGGATATGCCTCTAGGATAGATGTGGTTGGATAGGGTAAGGTGAAAAGTGTAGCTTAAGTCAATGACTGACATTTTCCAATGTAGCTGACTTGAATTAAGGCACAGGCTTACACGTGTAACATGGATTTCAAAAGTCTCAGACATCCTGAAACAATTCTATTAATATGCTATTACATTAATGTTGTTTGCAGGTCCAGTATTTGTCCCAATAACTTGTTAGTCCGAGACTGTGACAGTGATATCTTAGAACAACGGGTACCTTGTGTTCTGACTTTGACAGACAGAAGTTGGAATACATTGTAGCGAATGAAAATATTTCATGGGGAAAGCCGGTATCCCCTCTAATTTTGTGTTATGATTATTTATATAATTTCTACTGTATCATTAAGTTTTCATTAATCTAGACATAATCAGTCTTGTTTATTTTGTTTAAGCAGCTGTTTTGATTTCCGTTTGTCAACATACCCTCTTTCTTAATTTGTATTTCATTATATTTTGATAATTAGTATTATTGTTATTGTACCCTTATACTTTGTTTATGTTCGAGGATCAGTGGAACTACTTTGTGTTGTTTTGTTATTTTGAAATGAACTAATATAAAAAATATCTCATGGGGATGTGACATAGCCTCTGCCCCTCCGTCTATTAAGAAAATGTTCCTCCAAAGTTTTTGGAGCTTTCCAGTCTTCAATAAATTATTTCCGTCAATTCCGGCAGTGCTGACACCACCCGGGTATGGTTCAGCATTGCTGGGCGGGAGAGCTGGGCCTTTCCTTTCTGGTACATGCAGATGTTTCTCCTGACAGTGTTCTTCCATCCAAACCTCCATCGCAATCTTAAGGTGAGGAAACATATTAAAACTGATACATACAGATGAGGTCCTACAGTACTGCAATGAAAAACAAAAAAAGACCTTGTAAAACATGTGACAGTGAAAAAAAAACAAGAATTTACAAATTTTTAAATGGTATCATCGTATCAACTGTAACTGGTAACGTAACACGTACAAAGGGGATTCTTGCTTTTTCTTTATTCCAACACGTAATCACACGACGTGGTGACGACACACACAAGTTTTTCAACTTATATTAATGCCGCCACCAACACGGGACAAAATACATGACAGAACAGTACTCATTTTCACCTGAGCTAAGTGAGGAAAGTCGTGTAAAGTGCCTTTCCCAAGGGCACACGATCGGTGGCATGTCAGGACTCGAACCCGGGACCTTTAGGTTCCGAATCGCGCACACGATTCTTGCTTTTACACTTGCTATTATCTGATAATCATCATCATCATCATCATCATCATCTGATAATATCAGAACTGTTTTAAAGTCAAGTCTTCTACACCAGTCTTTTCCCTTGCTATTGTAGGTGGTGACTGTTGTGCTCCTGTGTATCTGTACCTTCTGTTTCACCCTGACATGGCAGTTTGCACAGTTCGCTCTGCTTCTCCAGGCCATGACTCTGTTTGGATGTGCAGTCCTGGATGTCATCCCAGCAAAAAAGGTTGGTGAATATTAATAATTTTGATAATTTTGATGATTTTGATGATTTTGATGATTTTGATGATTTTGATAATTTTGCTAATTTTGCTAATTTTAATAAATTTAATTTCTATAATTTTAATAATTTTTATAATTTTAATAATTTTTTGAAGCATTTTGTTGCTTTATGATTTGCAACTCCTGGTTTATCTCTTATCATCTATTCTATTCACATATATTTATTGAGTATGAGGCAAAAAGCAAAAGTTGCTTATATGACACCTTCTACTCAAAAACATACAACGAGTATAAAACACATTGACAAGATACATGCATAATTACAAAGTGGACAAAACCAAGATAAATACAAACAAGTTAGTGATCTCTCAATTACGAGAATCTACCCGTACATGGAATGAAGTTTTGAACTACATCAAAAACATTGCAGCTTTGTAGGTGTGAGAGTACTTATTATCGCACCTCCAAAGGAGAGTAATGTGTTTCACAGATCAGACAGGTTTGGCTCATCCAGGCAGGGAGTCTTCTGGCCGTCTGTGTCTGTCAGTTCTTTAACAAGATGGTCCTCTGTTCACTGGTTCTCAGCTTTATCCCTTCTGCCATGCTCACCATTGCATTCAAGGTAGGTCCTCCTGGTCACATTTTTCTTTAAAATCTCCTCTGGCAATTTTATTATGTTTACCGAAGGAAAACATATTGTTTTTACTCAGTTTCTTCCTCCTCTTCTGTTCCAAACACTTACCTCTGACCTGGTCAGTTACATGATTTGTTGACGTCTGTCACCATGGTGACTGGTGTTGGGTTACATAATATTGCAATTTCATGGTCTGCTCTACTCCTGTCACCATATACTCGTAGTACATGTGAATGTATATGTGAATGTGTTTGAGTAAAAATTAACAGAGCAGACCATGTCCGAAGGTAAACATGATGCATTTGCTTTGCAAATGTTACTTCTCTAGTTGTGAGTGTTTTTCAATTCTGGCAATGTCAGTGTGAATGACATTCAGTACCAAGGACAACAACATTAGTATGAATATTGTTCAGCACCATGGACAGCTACCTAAGACAGTGTAAGTTCATGTAGCAAGAAGCACAGCTGTGCAAGTATGAATACTTGAATAGCATGAATACCATTTAGCTCCATGGACAGCAATGTCATTGTGAATGTCATTAAGCACCACGGACAGCAATATCAGTATGAATGTAATACTGTACTGCATAAAGGACAGCAATATCAGTATGAATGTAATACTATACTGCATAAAGGACAGCAATATCAGTATGAATGCCATTCAGAACCAGGGACAGCAATATCAGTATGAATGTAATACTGCACTGCATAAAGGACAGCAATACCAGTATGAATGCCATTCAGAACCAGGGACAGCAATATCAGTATGAATGTAATACTGTACTGCATAAAGGACAACAATATCAGTATGAATGTAATACTGTACTGCATAAAGGACAGCAATATCAGCATGAATGCTATTCAGCACCAGGGACAGTGATGTTAGTGTTATGTTTGGGAACACCACAGCTGTATGACCATTGACCAGCTATGATAACATGACAGGAGCAGTTCTTGACCAGAAGAAGTCTCCCATCGCAGCTTGCTGGGCTTGTTCTGAATGTCATCCTGGTGATGATGTCAATGCTACTATTTAACAAAATTATCAAGGTAAGGGCTTTTTTTCATATAGCATCAATAGCTATGGACTTTCGAAATAAGTGATAAGTAAAACCTAAATTCATCACTTACAGTATGAAAAATGTTAAACTGTTCTCCAACTCATAGATTTAACTCACCGGAATTTTCGACTTAATCACTCAGTCTTCCTCAGCTTTCTGACCCAAATGATGTGAACACGCGATTTTTTCCACGTGTGACGTCAGCAAAGGGTCAAAGGTTGTCAGAAGTCGCCCCCCGTCCCGGTTGAGCGATGGTTGAGTCACTAACAATGTTATAATTATGTCAGTGATCAATAATGTGGTTAAGGCGTCCTTATTCTATATACCTGCATCTCTTTTAGGCCATCATTGTAACAGATGCAGACCAGCACATTTTTCTGTTCCTGATGGGGAAGTTTGGTTTGAGTGGCGGTGAAAGAGACTTTGATGCACAGCTGTATCTGTGCGCAACATCGTTTGGGGTCCTTCCACTGGACACGTTTGTCCGTCTCTCCAAGTACCTCGTGTTCCCCCTGTATGCTGTTGTCCAGCTATGCGTTCTGTTGGTTTTGATGCAGTCTGTGCTACAAAACTGGAGGTATTCTACTTCTAGAACATTTTTACACTCAGAATCAACATATTTATGATAATTCTCTCCCAAATTCTGTTGGATGTACATTTGTACATGTTGTAGTTTTGGAGCCACTGATGAAATGTTCACTATCTAAAATGCATCTGTGCTAGAAAACTGGAGGTACTCTACTTCTAGGACATTTTTACACTCCGAATCAACATATTTATGATAATTCTCTCCCAAATGGATACATTTGTTCATGTTGTAGTTTTGGAGCCACTGATGAAATGTTCATAATCTAAAATGCATCTTTCAGTTTTTCATTTGAACAGGGCACAGCAGATGCCTATATACTTTCCTAACCATTTAGCCATATACACTGTAACTCTATCTGAATGCATCAGCGGCATATCCGCCACATCAATCTATTGTATGAGTTTTCACTCATACAGGTAGACAGCAAAAACATAGGTCTGTGAAGATGTTGTAAGCTAACTAAATTCACTTAAGGCCACACCAATCTAATTTGTTGTTTCTTGTATTTGCCCGCTCCATTTTTTTCTGTTTTGAAAAAAATAAGAACATTTTAGGTTCTGAATCCAAAATGCTAAATGAAAGACATATTTTGGCCCCAAGTCCTTTTCGTCCTAGTTGTTAAAGTTTTTTTAATATAACAATACAACTTCGTTTCATTAAAAGTTCAAAATCTATTGTTTTAATTATAGACCAGCCTGGTATGTTCACTTCATGGCTCATATCGTAACATTTTCGGCTGTCATGGGGTGCCTTGATATGTTTTTTTCGCCCTGCCGCTTGATATTTTTTCTTTAGAAGTCTGAGAAACAACTAATTAAAGTAGTGTGGCCTAGCTATCTGCACCAAGTTGTATAATTTCTTCCCTCAGATTTTGTTTCCAAGTCGATCATCTGGTACAGCATTATCTCTTTAGAATACAAAAACCAATTAATTGAATTGGACCTTAGGACAATAAGAGCCTAATATTTTCTTCTTCTCTTATGTACAGTACTAAAGATCTGGCTGCATGGAATGGTGTACAGAGTTCATCTCTCTCTTCAGTCGCCCCTCTGATATCACAGCGGCCACAGCTAGCCTATCATGCCATTTCTGCAGCCGTGTTTGGCTGTTTAGCAGTCTCTACCAAGAGGTTCAAATATCTGTGGACCCCGCACATGTGCGTGTTAGCTGCTGCTGGGGTGGCTGATTTTGAGGCTTGGAAAATTCTTTTGAAAAAGTTGCATATAGACCTATCGGAGGCTAAGGTAAGAGTCATACTAGCAATCAATTCAATTAATTGAACACTATTTTCTCTACATCTACATCTACAATAGTGCATAAAATTATTATAATCCCTACAGATAAACTGCTCAAGCCAGCTCAGGGGCGTACCCGAGGGAGTCATCAGTATAAATACCAACCCATACACGCACGCACAGACACATAAATACTCCCTCTTTCCCCGCACAATTTCACAATGGAACGCCTTGCCTGGCCCGGTAACCACGGCTCCCACCGTTGAGTCCTTCCGGGCCAGGCTGGAGGCCTGCCCGCCTTAGACCAAGGCCTCCCCCCCCCCTAAAGTGCCCCAACAGGGGCTATATGGGGGTGTAGCCGGGGCTTGCACAACATCTAAGAGCCCCGGCAAAGATGAAGATGAAGACATCTATGTATAAATTCTCCTTGAAAAGACTTAAAGTGAGAAGTATCCTACTTACAAAATCTAGAAACTTCTCCAAAAATATACTAATACCAGATAAGAGACCAAACATTTCTGAGAGATCTAAATGAAAATTTTGTAGCTACATTTTCTGTTTACAAATGTTTACAAAACAGTTTTAGATATAGATGAACAGAAAGTACATCTCATATTCCCTCCAGGTTCAGCTAGTCAGACATGTTGTCACAGCTGGAATATTGGCCCTGCTGTTTGCTGTGGTGAGTTCCCGCAAGCAAATGTTATGATTATCATTTTCTTCAGTATGTTTGTTTTGAAATAAAGTCATTATTGCCCTAAGGAAAGTAGTCCAACATACATGTATGTATGTACATTAATAATGGCAAATTCGTGCCCGAGGGCTAATTGCAGGAACAGAAGAAACGTATGGTATAAAAAACAGACAAGTAGTACATTATAGAACTACTGATAACTACTAAGAAACTACTAGTAAAAACTACTGGGTTTGACTTCTTTTTTAAAACAGAGGAAGACAAAGTATCCCACTTTTTCTGTAATTTGTGGGTTTCCGGATGTTAAGAGAGTAGTTTTCTTTTCATTTGTATATGTGTGAAAGTTTGGGTAGAATTTGGAGGCTACGTTAAATAATGTTGACTGAACTTTGCAATCATACATGTATCTCCGGATCGTCAGGCCCTGCCTACAACTCTTGAAGAGGTAAAGCAGCGGAATGCGTTTCATGACCCAGACACAGTTCAGCTCATGGAGTGGATCAAGTAAGCACAGAATCATGAGTGTGTGATAATGACCTCCATGAAAAATGGAAGTATAGTTTTTGGTGCGTCTGTGTGTGTGTGTGTGTGTGTGTGTGTGTGTGTGTGTGTGTGTTTTCCGCACATTTGTAGTCAGCATAACTTCAGAACGCCTTTATGGATTGTGATGATATTTGGTATGCTGGTAGGTCATAGGAAGCCAAAGGTCAATGTCAAATATGGGCGTCCTGGTGGTTGACCTTGGTACTGCAGCAGAATTTCCGGGAAAACAGATGTGCAGGGTTACAGGTAAAACAGATGTGTGGGGTGGCAGGAAAAACAGATGTGCGGGGTGGAGGCAGCGCCTGCCCTGGTTGATTAATGAGGCTCTCCCTCGGGAAAAGCCTACATTACCATATCCAGGCCAAAGGTGCTACTGTGTGTTTGAAACTAAAAACCTGTGTTATTTTGTTCTGTACTGTAGTGTACTGTGTAAAAACATTTAGAAAAACTCATATATTTCATGGAGGTATGAAATCTCCGAATTCTTGTTAACTCTTTTGCTGTTCAAGTCTTCATGAGCGTGGCTTATACATATTGTATATGTAGGCAGTATGGTTTGCTATGTGGCAGTAATTTTGCAATGATTTGTGTAACGTTATAATATCTCTATGCATCATTTCATTCATTTATTTCGAAGCCTTTCAGCCCTGCAGGGCTAATCTTCCAAGGCTCAAACATAAGAATTACATAATCACATACATGGAAAATACAGTGAATACATTTAAAAAGACATAAATACATCAAAACATCAAGAATGAACACACAAGTCGATATTAAGTTAACAATTTAAAACCAGAGGTTGAGGCTCATGTAACACTGTTTGGAATAGCTTTTTTGAACCTGATTAGGTTACTCAGTGTCTTAACGTGATATGGTAGATTGTTCCACAGCAATATTGCACGATAAGTGAACAAACGTTTCTTACTGTTTGTCTTAGGTCTGGGTAATCTGAAGTTGTTCTGTGCAGAAGATCTGGTATTGAGAATGTGAGACATGGTTCGTGACTTGTAACAATCTTGAAGAACATTACCAGCATCCAGAAGATCCTTTTAGTCATTATATCTAACAAGATACATATGTCAAAATTTTCGTGTGTGTTGTTGTTAGAAAGGAAACCCCGGCTACTGCAGCCTTCACCGGCAGTATGCAGCTGATGGCAGGTGTGAAACTCTGCACGGGACGTCCCATCACCAACCATCCTCACTACGAGGACAGGGACCTGCGCATCAGAACCAAACAGGTGGGACAGGTGTACAGATTCTTATCATCCTGATAACATTGTATACGAAGATTACTGTGTATTAATAGTAAATACAAGTAACATGTATCAAGTCATAAACCAGTTATTACTGTTGGAGCCCTCACATGGAAAAAGAAGTCGAGGTCGTCCAGCAAGAAACTATATTAACCAATTAATGGACGACACCCAGCTCGACAGGAAAAAGCTGATGGTAGTAATGAGGATAGGAAGAGATGGAGAGCTATCATTGGCACCGAGGGAAGCTCGGACCAGTGAGTGAGTGAGTGAGTGAGTGAGTGAGTGAGTGAGTGAGTGAGTGAGTGACAAGTAACATTACCTGCGTAGAATGCATACTATGAAAGGATATTCTCTCAATCTAGCATTACAATTTATATACACAGAGCATCAGGCTCACAGTCACAGCATTCCCAATTACCCGCAAGAAAATTGGTGTTACGATTGCCTATTGTCCCTTTAACATTCAGCCTGCTAATATTGCCTTTTGACACAAAGTTTGTGTTAGTTACCAGGAAGGCAGCAGGGAGAAGGCTAAGTTTGCATAATATTTTTCAATCTAACACACACACATACACACACATACACATACACACACACACACACACACACACACACACACACACACACACACACACACAAACAATATGATTTTCTTGGTCTCCAGTTGTACCAGATCTATGGTAGGAGGCATCCTAAAGAGGTTCATGCCATTCTCAAGGCTCACGGCACCAGGTACATCATTGTAGAGAACAGCATCTGCTATGAGAGAGGTCAGGTGCACGGTGTCGGCTGTCGACTTCGGGACCTTGTGGACATGAGCAATCACCATGTGAGTTCCACCGACTGTAGAATCTGATGTAAGATCATGAGTGGGGTGTGTGTGTTCTTCTTCTTCGTTCTTCCTCTAACTTTTCTTCATGATAGAGAATGATTTTTTTTTTAATATGTGGTTTGTAACGTTATATTGGTAACGCTATACTGATACTGTAACGTTACAAACCACATGTTCCATGATGAAAAGAACACAAAAGCTTCATTCTCTATTTGTTGTCAGATTCGACCCATAGTAATGTAATTAACGTTGAGCATAAAGTGCCCCCAACACCCCAAAACACAGTGAAAAACAAGCTGTTTAACACCACCAGGATCATTCCGATGCCTTCCTGTCCTATGCAAATGAGGTTTACCCCTGTTTACGCAATGCATTCTGGGGATGGGAAACTGGTGAATAATGGGAATGGTACTGTACATGGACCGGTAAGTGTTTGTGATGTGCTACCACCTAAGGAATGTTTTCTTAGACAAAATATACTTATTCAAATTAATGCAGCTTCAGGAGTCGTTGAATTTACTTCCTTTAACAGTTATGTTTAACAACTTTGTTTCTTATCCCAGGTTGTTGAAGGAGGGATTAGAGGCCCCAAGGACCACCCTGCGGCACACCCCCGCTTCTGTCACGCCGTTCAGAGTGGGGCACCACAATATAGAATATACTTCACTGTGGTTTTTCAGAACAAGACTTTCCGTACTTACAAGGTATCATAAAAACTGAGATCTGCATGTGAAGCCAGGCTGGAGGCCTGCCCGCCTTAGACCAAGCCCCCCCCCCCCCCTAAAAGTGCCCCATCAGGGGCTATATGGGGGTGTAGCCGGGGCTCACATAACATCTTTGAGCCCCGGCAAAGATGAAGATGAAGTAAATTAGATTTAAAAAATTGTTCTAAGATACTGATGTGTTATCCTTTCCTCAATGACTTAATGATGTACTGCATAATATCACTATCTTTTATGTCCACCTAGTTCCCATTTACCAGGGCATGTGAAGGGACGTAGGTCTAGCTAGGAATCGCTGTCTGTTTTCTAAATATACAATACACTTCAACCTTTGCTGTTTTGTAATCGAAAGTGATGGAATTTGATAGTTAGGCAAAACGCATTTGACTTGTAGATAGTCCTCATCTGTTTGCAGAATTAAATCAAGCCAAGAAGTCTTAATTGCATGTGCTCTTTTTTCAGTACCCATTTCCTACTATTTATTAAGTACTTATAATACGTGAATTGTCTATCCAAAATTAAGACCAGAAGACTACTAATAATATAAAGACCAGATTTCGTCAATTCAACATTTATTCCCTGCCCCTGGGAAAATTCACATATCATAAGTCAGACGTTGAGATACAGCCAGATACAAAAGCAGGTCCCTAACTACTTGAGCAATCTGGCAGAACTATAGATAACCAACAAATAATGGTACGTTTAGTGTCCTATTATGCTTGAGATACAGTTCCTTGTTAGTGATTCCCAGAGGTTTCTCCCTACTTATGAGGAAATGCTAGAATGACATTCTTTGTTAAGATAAGACTGTCTTTTGGTGGAGAATATCTTGGAGAATGTCTTTTGGTGTGATATAATTCGTGCAAATGAGATCCTACTTGCATAATCAGGGAGAATGATTTGTCAGTCATAAAGATTAACATCATTTGGCGAGGTCGAGGAACTCTAGTTATTAAGTTTTTTTCACATTATCAGTTCGCATGTTCATTGTATTTCATGGTTGGGCATGCGTCAGTTTATTTTCTACGGCCAAGTAATTACTATGGATGACGTCCACTGGAGACCTTAAATCTAAATTGAAAGCGCGATAAAAACATGAAGGGCCGAAAAAAAGAGATGCCAAGATTTAGAATATATTAGAAATACAAATGTTAGGACACAAATTGAATAAAAGAACGCAGTGTAGCAAGAAACAGGTCTTCTATTCGTCATAAAAATAAATTAACAAAACAGCAGTAGTCGCCCTGTTCTGATTCTTTCCACCATCACATCTTCTCTTGTTATATTTTGCGGGACTGCCGTGACACTTTCATCATAATACAGTAAGAAGAATTTCTTGTAAGTTTTTTTCCAGTAACAGTCCAAAATCAAATAACGTAGAAGTGTAAGGCTTGGCGTAGCTTCCGGTCGTTAGACAGAGTCTCCCGAGCCGTAAAGTTGCTGTGTGTGAGGTCGAGGGAAGGCACGGAGTCTCCGACAAGTTCGTTGCAATGGGACAGGTTTATTCTGCTGAAGACCCTGCGTTGTTACAGCGAAGCACACCCGCGAGACGGCGCTGAGTAACAGTAGGTGGGACGGTAGTTTCCCCTTCCTTCTCCGCGGACTTCAGGAAAACCCCTTCGCTGGCTCGGAGCCGAAAAAGTCTAAGTTCGGTGGCTCATGTTGACTTCGGTGACTCGGGGTTCCCGTACTCGTGGAGTCCGACGGAGTTGCTTTCTCCCTGATTGTTAGTGTTTTCCTTCTTTTATTTCCTCAAAATCGGGGTTCCGCCCTCCTCCAAATTTGGCTATTCTCATCAGAATTTGTCATAGCCGATTGGCCAAGACTCTAGTAATTTGACAGAAATCATTTAACAAAATCAAAAGTCCCTTATCAATTGAGCAGACATTTGGGAGGGAAACATGAGTTCTAGTTCATTAAATCCTTGTGTTCCGGGGATCACGACCTAACCTTTGGATTAACCTTTGGCGAGTTCATGTCCTTTACAGAATCAAAGTTACAAGCGGGGAAACCCCTGTAAAACGTTGTTCCCCCTCTTAGTTTCAATAACAGAACGAATTTGGAGAAATAACAAGCCTGCCAAAGGCTGTATGCGGAGTAGAGTTTGTCCTGGTCGGGACGCGGGACTCCCCCGTCTCGTCAGTTACTCAGCGCCTTACAACAAGTGACAGTTGGAGGTTTCCGTTATACTTGCTAATAACTACTCAACACTCTCGGGGTGTGACAGATCAGAACTAATAACTGGTGGGGTCTGACCCCTACAAGTTACAACAGGTTTCATTCATAACTGGCCGGATCTCTGGAACTTATTAGATATTTTGATATAACGTAACACTATACTGCCGGCCCAAGAACGAGGTATGCCGGTTGTTAGTCGTGCTGTGTTCAATAAAGATATGTCACTCATCATTACTGGTGATCGACTGTCGACGCTAATTATAGTGATCGGGCGGGCTCCTTACAGAAGGGCCTAACACGCGTACGGGTGACGGCGCGTCTGTAAAATCTGTGGCGAAGCCTTTCAGGGTGTTCCGTAGCATTAAAAAAAGAGTACAGAGATTCTTTTGTACTTTAGACCAAATTTATTATTAAAAAGAGTAAAGAATACACATGTTTATTTCTCTACAACAATGTACCTCTGACGAAGACCTCTAGTTTTCTTATGCATTGACGAATAATACAAAACTGCACAAAACGTGTACAATTTGTGTACAACGCATTTCCACTAAGGTCAGTTTCACAAATTAAAAAAGTTTTTTTACAATAAAGATAAGTCGAGGTGGCTAAAAGGACAAAAGACTTTAACAGACCTTTACATACCCATATGTCCACAATCAAACATTTTAACTGATGTCGTCTAAGTCTCTATCTAACATTATCAAACAGTGGATCGCGCGCTTCAACGGGACATCTTGTTGGCGGTTTTCCACATAAATGTCAAAGTCGTTCGGTCACTGAACTGTTCGCTGCATCAGGGGGGGTTCCATATGTGTCTGAGAACCCAGCTGACTGAACTGTCTGTTGCACTCCTCACACGTAGGTTTTTCACCAATGTAAGTTCGCATGTGTGCCTTCAGTGAATCCAGCACACTGAACTAGACCTGTAGGGTTTCCCTCCTATATGTATTGTCATGTGCTTCTTCAGAGAACCCAATTCATTGAACTGTTTGCCACACTCCTCACACCTGTAAGTTTTCTCACCAGTGTGAGTCTTTCTATGTTTCTTCAGACTTCATCTGTAGGATTGCTCACCAGTGTGAGTTTGCCTGTGTTTCTTCAGACTACCCAGCTGACTGAACTGCCCGCTGCACTCCTCACACTTGTAAGGTTTCTCACCAGTGTGAGTTCGCATGTGCTTCTTCAGATCACCCAGCTGTCTGAACTGCCTGCTGCACTCCTCACACCTGTAGGGTTTCTCTCCGGTGTGAGTCTTCATATGAGCCTTCAGAGAACCCGACTGACTAAACTGCTTGTTGCACTCCTTGCATCTGTAAGGCTTCTCACCAGTGTGAGTTCGCATGTGGTTCGTCAGATGACTTTGTGTGCTGAACTGCCTGCTGCACTCCTCACACCTGTAGGGTTTCTCCCCTGTGTGAGCCCGCATGTGTATCTTCAGATCCCACAGCGAACTGAACTGCCTGCTGCACTCCTCACACCTGTAGGGTTTCTCACCTGTGTGAGTCCGCATGTGTGCCTTCAGACTACCCAGCCGACTGAACTGTTTGCTGCACTCCTCACATTTATAGGGTTTCTCACCAGTGTGAGTCCGTACGTGCTTCTTTAGATGACCCAGCTCTCTGAATTGTGTGCTGCACTCCTCACACCTGTAGGGTTTATCTCCAGTGTGAGTTCGCATGTGTGCCTTTAGACTACTCAGCGTGCTGAACTGTTTGCTACACTCCTCACATCTGTAGGGTTTCTCACCAGTGTGAGTCAGCATGTGTGTCATCAAAATACTTGTTGTTGTGAACTGTGTGCCACACTCATCACACTTGAAAGGTTTTTCACCAGTGTGAGTTCGTACGTGTTTCTTCAGTGTACCAAGCTCACTGAACTGTTTGCTGCACTCCTCACACCTGTAAGGTTTCTCACCAGTGTGAGTTCGCATGTGTCTCTTCAGAATACCCAGCTGACTAAACTGTTTGCTGCACTCCTCACACCTGTACGGTTTCTCTCCAGTGTGAGTCCGCATGTGTTCCTTCAGACTACCCAGCCGACTGAACTGTTTGCTGCACTCCTCACACCTGTAGGGTTTCTCTCCGGTGTGAGTCTTCATATGCTTCTTCAGATGACCCAACTGACTAAACTGTTTGCTGCACTCCTCACACCTGAAGGGTTTCTCACCAGTATGAGTCCGCATGTGGGTCTTCAGACTACCCAGCTGACTGAACTGTTTGCCGCACTCCTCACATCTGTACGGTTTCTCTCCGGTGTGAGTTATCATATGCTTCTTCAGAGAACCCAACTCACTAAACTGTTTGCTACACTCCTCACACCTGAAGGGTTTCTCACCTGTGTGAGTCCGTATGTGAGTCTTTAGACTATCCAGCCGACTGAACTGCCTGCTGCACTCCTCACACCTGTAGGGTTTCTCACCAGTATGAGTCCGCATGTGCACCTTCAGATGACCCAGTTGACTAAACCTTTTGCTACACTCCTCACACCTGTAGGGTTTCTCACCCGTGTGAGTACGCGGTGAGGCTGACGTCAGCGCTTCTGTTGCCATGGTGATGGAGTGTTTGTCCTGTAGAAATAGAGAGAATATTCCTAGCTTAGCGAAACGTTTTTAACGACAAGTTTTTAACGATGTTATTGATGATAACTTTTGCGAGCCAAAATAACCAATCATCAATGCACGTAGCCAATTTTTATGGAAGAATCAAAACGAGAAACCTGATATTCTACACCTCCGGGAAGTATAAAATGCATTCACAATGTTTTACAATTCCCAGGATGCAGTGCGACTGGGGGTAAAATCTCCCAGGTTGCATAGCGCAGGAAGGTAAATGTATTTTGTGTGTTGATGTGTTGGGATGTTTTACAACG